CACTACCGTTGTCGGAGGAAGCAGAGGAGGCGTACTTAATCAACCAGCCGATGAGAGCGCGAAGGATGCGCTTACAGACCTCGGCGTCCGTTCCAGCCACTTCCAGGAGGACAGTTGACGTATTGAGGGTCAACTGAAACGAGGGCGATAATTAAGGGACAGTTAAGATGGCACCTCGATCCTGCTGTTGCGGCGGGTGGGTTATAAAAGGGCAAGTCGCAGCAGGCTGGGCGCAGACAGATAAACAACACAAACAGAAAGGTTCACAAAGTTAGACAGGGTCCCCCATTTTTTGTGTCACATGCAGGCTTCGGGAGAGATAACCCGGAAGGAGGTCCGTCACGGTCACAACAAACCCACCGAGGGTGATCTAGAGTTCTAAAAATTTCACAAGTTTGAACTCCACCAGACATATACATTCACATTCAACTTATTGCTTCGGCGATCCAGAAATCAGAGAAAATACCGCGGCGAACTTCTGGAGTGGCATCTAATGCATCTTGTACTTGCAACGGCTGGCACCCATACAGGTTTGACCAGCCCCAGAGTTCACAGTATTGTCGACCAGTACCATTCGGTCCCAGAATTGTTGGCCGAACAATAAGTAATCGTCCCGTTGGCATTGCGTTCGCTTCTCGCAAACGCAGCCCAGCCCAGCATCTGCTCCCAGTCGTATATAACCACATCCGTACACTTGGTTGGCTGTTACGGCTCCCACTCGGAGGTAACTTCGCGGAGGGGATCCCCTTCAAACCGGGGGACTGTTTGAGAGAAATATCTACGATGGTGGCCCTTTACACCAATCCCACCAGGAGGTACCCTCGTTGAGGGTGCAGTTCTACATTAAAAATGTGGTCCACGAGTGGGGGCTGAAGGCCAGGTTTGACGGGAAGGCTTTCACAGTGACGTCATACGCTGGAATCCGTCTTGCATTGAACTTGTGGCAGGACTATTGGCACTTTCAGAGTCGGTTGAGCATATTGTACGCGTATTATAAACGGCAACCTATCTTCTTTTGCCAAATGCCAGACGGTGACTGAGAGGGTGCGGGACAGAATATAGTCTGCTTTTTTACAAGGACTTAAGAGTACAAGTTTTTTAGTTAAAAAAAGTGCGTAATCAAAAATGTGCCAATTAACATCGATGCACCAATTGGAAAATGAAGCCGCGCAGACCACCACATCAAGGCTTTGCGTATCATACGAATATTCCTAAATAATGAAAAAAATGCCAGCAGTTACACCCAGCTTAACTCACTTGTGCAAATGCTCACGAAAAAGGCACACGTTTCTGACGTGTATTTTTCAGACCTCAACCGAAGAAAAAGGTTTAATAAACAATTAAGGACCGTAATAAGAAGTCCAAAAGTGCTAAAAACTCGACCGTCTCAACATGCCTCTAGACACGCAAATCAAGCTGAGGCCCACAAAGCCCTCCATCCTGCACATGCAAGACAGGCAAAATCGATGTTAATCAGGAAGGTTATTGTCCAATGCTAAAAAACAGGCGTAGTAGTCTGAAAATTAGAGGAAGTATACTGAGTCCTAAAGTAAACAGCCATCTACAGGGTCGATGCAGGCACTAAAAGCGACAAAATTCCAGCTTGATAACGGTCACTACGGCTGCTGTCATAAATGCGCACAAAAAGCAGTGGGTTGCCGGCCAGACATCCTTTTGCCAGTACGTAACATTAAATCTGGTGATAGTTTGCGTTGCAGATATTAAGTGAGAAGAGAAGGTTTTGCTCCTCTCCCGGAATCTCAAATATGCAAAAGCGTATAGTGGGCTTTTGACCGACATAAACAGAGACAGCAGCTAGTTAGGCCTTACCAGTACGCTGAATAGTCAGTCACCTTGCAGCCTGGCAGGTGGCTGTAATTCGCGATTCCACTAATCGGAGGGTAAAGCCAGTTAGTTTTATGATGCCGGTCGTGCAGGTCCAGACGTCTGATATGTGTCAGAAACTGCACAGTCGGCTTAATCGAATCCTTGGTGAGAAAACAAAGACGTTGATGAAGCCACTTTGACAACCCAAAGGCTGGAGTAGCACGTGAGATGATGGGGCGTAGGCTCACTCCCGGTTTATGTAATTTGGGTGGACTGTAAATGTATGCCATCGTGTCTAATGACTCCGCTTTGAGGTGAGTGGCGAGGACGGCACCTAGAAGTACGAGGCAGATGAAGCGACGTTTGGTGTTCTCTTTAGTTACTCTCACCCTACCAAGCGTCGCTATCAACACTACTGACGACTTTCGATAAAAATATGAAGTTTACGTAGCCAAAGTGGACACATGTCACACAGTTCTCGGGACTGTGCCCCAAGACTTTCTTCACGTCCGACGGCCAAGTTAAAGAGTAAAAGGAGGGGAACACCGATGGTTTAGCCTCTGTCCGGACTGACTGTGGGAGCGGTTCGGCGAGGGACCAAAATAGCGGTCCTCAAAATTCTGAGTCAGATATGTTGAGGCCACATTCGCCGTGATCAAAAGGATGGATCGTCAGTTCCACTATACATTATTGAACATATTCACCCCTAACAAATTGCACGTTTAACCAACAATCACTGTGTAATCCCGATGCAAATGACACACGAAGGATGTGTGAAGATAGGGAAGGCAGTTTATAATGAGGCGATGGGCATTAGACGCATACTCCGTTTTAAAGTCAATCGCCCCGCTAGTCACGAACGAAATCGTGCCATAACCCTCCTCCAGTGGACTCCGAAAAACTGTAGGGAAAACGTGGGGAGGGTAAGGTGAAATACATGTAACTGTGGATATATCCAATCGCAGCCGACAAGACGAGGGACCGTGATTCAAACTGATCCCCTGACTCGAGTATACAAGAAGCGACTGGGTCGGGTTAAACGTGAGGTATTATCAGCCTGGGATCTTAATACTGTTGGTAGATGACAGCATGTATATCAGAAATGTCTATGAAAGTCTTCATAGTCTTTGGCGTCAACAGTTGTTGGGTTAGTGATTGCTCGTCGTTTTCATCAACATGGTTTCAGTCGCCTTGAAAATGCTACAGGGTAGGGAGCTTTCAACATCTAGATGACTAGAAGATGCCAAGTACGTGTCTGATTTCAACAGAAGGGATCAGGTTGATTCCACTTAACACCCAAAAAGACTTGAACCAGGCAGGTGGGGACATTCGAACGCACGAAATTACTGAACTTGTTCCGGTTGTCCGATGGTCCTCTACATATTATTACGTCAGTCTGAAGCAACAAAGGCCAGCGAGTGCGACTACATAATAGGTTTGATCCAGAGCACTCCTACCTTGGGGCTTTTGTATCGACAAGATGACCCCGAATAGGACAATAATGGCCCTGAGTGCCCTCTGTTCTGCCTGCTGGTAAACCTTTTAGCCTAAATTAATCCATATTCGAAAATCTGAGCGTTATTTGGATATTAATAAGCTCGCTGGGAATCAAAAGGAGTTATCAAGAAACACTGCAGAAGAAACTCACACGAGTCTCATGGCAACTAGTGATAGGGTGCAGAGAGAGCGTCGTGTGCGCAGAATCCACAGTCACCGGTAGAGGCGGGAGGACGCTGTGTGCGGCGGCAATGCTATCCTTGCCCGGACCCAATGAAGGCGATATCAACTCAAGGTAGCGCTGGAGGCTGCTAAACTGCGTTAGCTTGCGCCGTTTCCTCTCTGATTCCGCCTCGAGCTGAAGACGCAGAAGAAGGTCGCGAGCGGTCTTCGGTTTGCCCATGTTCAGAGCATGAATCTGAAAGGGACCGGGGGGGGGGGGGTGGAGGAGATTAATCACTGGGACGAAGAGTCGTGAGGGCGGCATCTGGTGGGCAGGGACACCAAACGTGTGGACCTGACAGCCATGGCGATGCATTCGATCGCCCAACTCAGGCGAATGCGCCATGGACGGATTACTACGGATCCGATAACCGCAGGCGTTGACGCACAAGTGACCGGTCAATTTTTCACCGCTGACAGTCATATGGTCTCATGGATTGAGCCCCCGCCCTACCGCATACAGTACCTGGCCTATCTTACGGCTTTAGATGGTCCGCAGTCCGTATTATTTGCAGACGCATGTTTATTAATGCTGCTTGTAAAGCATACGACATGGTCCGTATCCATTGAAAAAGCTTATGAGCTTTATATTACGCCTTCTTAATAGCGTAGGGGAGTGCATGCACTACCTTACACAGAAAGTATGCAGCATGTAGTTCGGAAGCCCTAGGCGCAGCGAAAGTGCTGTCCAGGTTCAAAGTTATCCGGGGATTGAAAAGGTTTTTTAGTACCGAAGGATACACTTTCTGCAAGTATCAAGTTTTAAGAAGACGTAGTTTGCCATTAGATGCGTAAAAGAGAATATTTTTGTGCATGTCTTCTACTGAACATATTTGAATATACAGGGGCATCCAAAATCAATGAGAAAAATGCACACCACCAAGGAAGTCATTTTCGCCGCGTGTTGTTTTTGCCGGCAGCCGGGCAGGGGCGCATTCAAAGGCCGGCATCTAGGCTTGACAGAAGTTCCTTGGGACTATGCTGAACGACAGTCAATATTACAACACCACCAAAGTAATCCCTTCTAGTCGAGAACAAATTTTAGAATTTCAGTCAACATTTCATGAAATAGGCCAGCTACTGTATTTGATTGAGCAGGCGCGCTGCGTGGTCGGGCGGACGGCACCCATGTCATTCCACATAATCCATTCTCTGCAATTGGTGTCTACTATTTGTATGGGAAATGGACTTCTCCTGAACTACAGGTGATCGTACGCCGAATTCCAGGGGGCTACCTAGTCCCGTGTCCTAACTTTAACACCAGCCCTAGCCCACGTAACCCTGACCCACATGGCGTTAAACACACGGCAGCCTGAAATGCATGGTGTCCCATATTTCCGTGCCCTACTTTTTCTACTGTCAAAGGGGCATAGGAATCTGATTACGACGGTTAAAATGCATCCCCTGACACAGTTGTTGAGGTACTCTATCTGAATCAATTTATCATACAGCCACGTTCTCAAAGATCACTGGGAGGAAAAATGATTATGAGGCTAAACAAAATCAATAATGTGCAAAAGACACGTCAATTAGACCCTACTGAAAAGAATATTAGACAGGGTGTGTTGATTGGTAGACAAGAGAGCCGCTGAACAGAGGAGATTCCTCTAAATGAGATCGGACCACGGGAAGTATGCGCATCTCAAAAAAACGAAAAATGACGGAACTCACTGACGAAACAATACTTGCATACCTTTCTCACACGCGAATAAAAGGCAACGAACTGGAGAAACAGGACGTGGGCACATCTGTTCAACAGGCGGCGTCGCAAATGACTATAAAACGTGATGATGCCTCAGTTGAAGAGGCTGTTGTGGCTTACGGTTTAAAGGGGGAGTTATTTTGAAATGCGTCGCTGTTGCTACGGGACAAGATTGGTTACAGTAAAGGTGACACAGGCTTGACGGTTATTCATTTGGCAAAAAAAATGAAGTTCAGTTTTTTAATGCTAGAAAAGTCGGCATCTACGTAGGAAAAGTTTCATCTTCATTGGGTTCACCCTGTGTGTGATGTTATGATTTGACTTTAGTATCTCCGATCTAATGACTCTGTCTGGTTTAATCGTCATCAGCATTGATGGTCCAAGAATGAGGAATAGGCAAGGCCGGGGGTGGAGACAGCACCACAGCGATCAACGGGCGATCGGTCTCGTTGTTCAAAAACTTTCTCAATTGACGTGTGAGAAGAGTCTGACGGGGGCAAAAGAAGGTAGCCATCAAAGGGAAACAATGCAAAATCACATGAGAAATGGTAAAAGAACTAAACTTGGACCGATAAGTCATTTTTGGCTCGTTAAATCCGACTGGATAGGCGCAGAAGCTCGGAAAATGGAGCTCGTATGAGTAAGCTAAAATCTGCGATGTTGTCGTTACTTTCTGTGAAATAAAAGGATCAATTTATTCGTCGAATAGCGACGCGCAAAAGACAATCGCCAATAGACGAAAGAAACGGAAACTGGACAAGACTTACCACTAACGGCTCATTGGCGAAATAAAGGGCAGAGGTGTACTGTCAGTCGTGACTTACAATTCTTCATACTTAGCGGAGAACAAGGGAGCTTTAGTAAAATACGTGAAGCTCTCGTAAAAAGCACGCCCACATAAAGAGATGTCCAACTAGGTCTTAGGTAACTGAGAGAATGCTGACCTTGGTTGAAGACTACGCCGAAATAAGACAATGAAGTCCCTTATTTGGGAGGTCTAGTCACTATGTGATCTAAAGTAGGGTCTGCAGCAACGGCGTGTCCACCGAAGCCGAGTAGGGAACCCGGAGGATGCTATCTGGGTAGACACTGACGATGGAAAAGATAAGTGAAGCCTGATCTATCAACGGAATAGCACGACTCTAAGACACGATGTCTTGAAGACTCAGTCCAATATCTTCCTCGAAGGTATTCGACAAAATTATTGGGAATAAGGTAACAAGGGTGAGAGACGCTTGACAAGCATTTTGTCCTAACTTCCACGAAAGGGAGGGAAGAACCAGCAGAAAATATACTCACCGAAATGGAGTCTACCGGATTTATGGAGTAGGTGAGAGGTAGACGGACAAAAGCCTCATCGTGGGTGCACAGAGTGGCTACTCGGCGTTGTTGGCCCAGATCGTTGTGTAATTTCACCTGGAAGCGGAGGAAGTCCTTGAGAACCGTTTCATCCCGGAAAATGACACCAGCCACAGTGCATGCGAAGATGCGTGGTCGAAGGCTGGCGCGTACGCTCTCTGGGTCAATTACGCGAATGGTGTAGGCCTGCATGAAACGGACGGAAAGGTACAACGAGCTCCCAAAAAATCGATGGATTAATTAAATAATTCAAGCTTAACGAAGTCCAGAAAGTTCAAATGCTGGGACTCAAATAATGGCAGTAAATGTCCTATATATTATCGAACTGCAGGCCGCATTGGCAAATTCTATGAGCATACACTGCATTTGAGTTAATGTTCAACTTATAAATGTAATCTGTCTTTCAAAGTACTCTTCAGTCCGGATAAAATTGTTATTCGAGTAAACTGTCTAAGATAGTTTAATGCGAAAGAAGTTCAGAGGAAATACGCACAGACGGTGAGATGACATTCCAGAGAGAATAGGAAAGATCAGGTGGCAATTGAGTGTAAATTTGAGGAAGCGACGGAGGTTTACTATGAATAAAAGCACCAGGAAACAAACTACTAACTGAAAACAGGAATAAGAACGCCGCTGAACTATATTCCATACAATGTATACTTATTTGATTGGTGAGCTAACTAATGAAATGTCAACAGAAATTCCGAAATGTGTTTTAGTCAGGAAACGATGAATTAAGCAGGGTTGCAACACAATTCCATAATAATTCAGTTACTTCAGGATGTCGGCTTTCGAACGAACTTCTTTCCAGCTGCATGAAAAAATATACTCTGCAAAAAATGACTACTTAGGTAGCATGCATTTTCTCACCGATTTTGGATGCCCTTAAAAATTCAATTATACTTCAGGGAAAACATGGATAAAAATATTCACTCTCTAGCTCATTCGGTCGAAAATGACGTCTTCCTCCAATTTTATACTCGAAGAAAGAGCATAATTCGGTTTTAAAAAAGTTCCTAAATCTGAGATTATTTTCATATCGTAAAATGGCCGTTCATAAAACGTCATGTCTCTGCATTTACCAATGTGGCTTGTAAAGTTAACAGTATGGCTCAAATCTACTGCTGAATTTTATGAACCCCATAAAGTCACCCCATAAAACCGTAGGGAAATGCATGGTTTTACGTACGCGGAAAATATACGGCTTGTAGTTTGGAAACCCTGAATGCAAGGTCAGGTTCAAAATTATTCGGAAACTGGGAGTTTTTGAAAAGCGAATTATACCCCTTCTCCGGGTATAAAATTGAAAGAAGACGTCATATTCTACTGAATATGGAATATGGAATATAATTGAATTTTTAAGGGCATCGAAAATCGACGAGGAAAATGCATGCAACTAACGTAGCCATTTTTTACAGAGTATGGTTACTGATTTTTTCAACTGTACCGGCCTAAAGAGAAGTTGTCGAAAGCAACGCTTGCCTGCCACCTCGTATTTTCTATTTTTATTTACCTATAACACTTGAGCTACCAGGACGTGATCTCAATGAACAGCTAATTACATCAATATATAAGGACCGTGTGCAGATAAAGAGGTCACTAAATTTTGTGACGTTATTGAATCCTGCATATTTTGTCACCTTTGTCTTGTTCAAATTATTAATTGTCCATAAACGAGGAAAGGCCGCCTCCAGAATGCAATTGAGAGCGACAATTTGGAGAAACAGTATCGCGTGGGCTATGTCAAGAATTTCAAAATGATACTCGTAATTCTCATTTCATTTGCCTTAATAAAGTATTTGTTCATTTCCCAACTAAGTTTAAAAGACCCAAACGGTGCAATTCGCTAACTCCTATGATTAGTCGCCACAGGCTATGCAAAGAGTTACACAAATCGTGGAATTTCACAGCAATTTTTCCGAGTTGGTCCACGCGTTATGTGCAATCGGAAATAAAATTACGTCTAGGACAGAATACAGATTAATCGTTCTGCCCGTTCAAGAGATTGTATCCCGTCCCACAACCTAAATAAGACCAACCGATGCCGTCCTCAGGACGCGTTAAATAGTTCTCATCTTAGATTTTACTGGACAGGAAGTCACTTCGTCAGGCGTCAGTGGCCGTCGGTAAGTCCAACCAACTCGTAAGAATCATCGTTCCTCAATCGTCCAAAATCTGGTTAAATCGCGACTCGTCGAATATCGATCGCGTGGTGCGGACTTGCTGAGAAGTGGATTCGAAAGTGGTCACCTCCGTCCACTCCATCGGCACGTCCATTGAAAGTTTCAGGATTGTGTCTGACGTACAGTACGTGGAGGGTTAATGAGCTATCGGCTCTTTCGAAAACGATTGACATCACTTTTGAATAACAAGCCGTGACCATATATGCTATAAATTCCGAGTTGTCTCCAGATAACCGCTTTTGGCGGGAGCTTGTGACGGTTTTGCCGTAAATGGAGGGAGAGGGAATTGGGGGAGATGGCGAGCGGACGGGCGAGGCCCGTAATCTTAACAAGCAGGAGACGCAAACTTGCCGTAAGTGCATGCGACATGGGGGGAAACAATACTCACGTCATGGTTCATCCCTGTGTCCAGTTCTATAAGGCTGAGATGGCTGGGTTTCAAATCCTGTGGCTTCAAGTCACGACGCGGTGTTCTGGAGATGCTGCGTGTTCCCTTTGCTGAGGTTGACTTGCCTTTCTTGCCAAGGTAGGCTATTAGGGCGAGGCTCGAGCGCGGGTCAGAGGCCATCTTCTTTAGCCGATTGTCTTTGAGTGGATTGCGTTCTAGAAGGCATTCTCGAAGTTTGCGACACTCCCCCAGTGTCGAGGGGATCTCAGTAAGGTTATTATCACAAACATTCAATCGGTGTAAGTTGGTGAGTTTGTTCAAGTCTGTTGGCAAGCTAGTGAGGGCGTTACGCGAGAAGTCAACACTCATGAGTTTGGAGCATTCACTGAGGGTTTCTGGTAGGACCTGTGGGAGAAATCGGGACATTGTCAATAGATGAATGGTGATAGTCTGCGTGTCTTCGTAAATCCTCAGATCAGTTTGAAATAATGAAGATGCGTGACAGTCAAAAAATCTACGGACGGACACGATGTCACAGGCGTGTGGTACGCGTCAGAGGGTTAGTGTCAAATTATAA